ATATATATATATATATATATATATATAAACCTAAGGTAACTAATAGATTGTTAATAATATCTGGTGGAATAGAATTTGAAGGATTCTTTCACGTTTTCCTGCTGCCTGATGTGATCTGATCTGAATCTGTGTGGCTATGACAACAACGTGAGTCACTCAGAGATGAGATCAGGCCACGACGTGGAGAGATCAGAATGGAAATGTTAGGAGGGAGGAATGGGGGGAGGCAGGGAGGGAGAGAGACAGAGAGAGAGAGACAGAGAACGTCAAGTTAATAGTCCGTTGTTGCTCTGTCAGGGTTTGTTCAGCTGGCTGCAACTGTGGAACTCATGGCTTTGGAGTCTCGGTCAGGAACTATTTCTGAGGGAGGCAGGAAGCAGCTCACACACACACACATACACACACACCTCCTCTGTTACACATTTTAAAAACATTATTCATGCTTTAAAGTCAGGTTGATATTCTCAGTCACGTGTTCTGATTTAGACGAGAAACAGAAAATCAAAGTCAGCTTTAGCTTTGGGGTCAAGTCTGTTTTACAACAGAGGGACGAAACTGTGATGCAGTAAGACAGGAGACCAGAGACATCTGTTTAGATTGAACTTTATTCACTATATGTAGTAGAATGAAAAGTTTGAACTGGGTTCTGATGGTTCTGTACCTGTTGGTGTTAATTTTATGAGGGACAAACAGAAGGGAGGTGAACAGTGGGTTATTTAAACACCCTAGTGTGGTCCCACTGCTGAGGTGTGTGTTTCCACAGGGTTGGTGAGCAGCTGCTGTCCTCACGTCAATGAAAGAAAAAAAAACCCACCTCCACCAGAGTTTCAGTAGTTTCAGCCACTGTCTCCTCCCTTTAACTTTCAGTTTGAGTCCACCCTGTCCAGAGGGTGGAGGACAGGGAGGGTCCAGAACTCCTAGCCCTGACCATTGTGCTCTCACCGTCCTGTGGGAAAGGCAGGGACTCTGGGCTGAAAGGAAAGGCAGAGTTGGGGATAAAGAGTGACAGAGAATGTAGGAGAGACAGAGGAGCTGACGTTTGTTTATGTTCATGGTGGAGGTCCTCAGGGACATGACGTGGACCCAGTGGACTCCACCTGAGGAGACGGCCTGTCCTGGACTGAGGGGGAAGTAGAGAGGAAAAGACAGTAGGGCCGAGAGGGGGGGGAGTCACGAAAGGAGGCTCTGGATAATATGGAAAGATTTGACGGAGTTGATGATGTCATCAGTCGAGCGTCCTGTCTATATCTGAGTGACAGCCACAAAGAGGTAACGGACCACAGCTTTATCACAGGCTGCACCTGCACCTGCACCTGCACCGACTAACTAACAGACCAACTAACAGACCACCTAACAGACTAACCAGCAAACTAACTAACAGACTAACCAGCACACGTGTGTGTGTGTGTGTGTGTTAATCTCGTCATGTCCTGCAGCTGGGGACTCGTTGTTAGAAAAAGCGAAGACTTTCTCTGAATTCTCTGACTCTGCTCCATTCTCTGGGAGAAACGACTGATTCCTACAGATCCACAGTCTGGTCTGGTTGGAGAAGCTCAAATGTCACAGGGAGACCTATTGTCCTCCCTCAGCCCACTCCACGCTCCTCACCCCCCTCTGCTCCCTCCCTCCTTTTGTCTTTCCTTGCAGTTCCTTTTTTTTTTACCTTTATTCTTCACACACACACACACACACACTGAGTGACAGGAGCAGCCTTGCACTGACCTACAGCTGAACTGTAGGAGGGGTCAAAGGTCAGAGCCTTTATCTCTAATGGAATGCTGTGCTGCCAACACACACCGGTCTCATGTAACAGGAAAAGTCAGGCTGCACACACACACACACGCACACACACACACACACGGACATATCTTCAAAGACATCATAAAGAGACATGGTGTGTGAATTTAAAGGTTTGTGACAAATTATATATTTATTTATTTTGGATGTAGCTCAGTGGAGTGTGCCTTTGCCTGACACCTGGAGGGTTGTGAGTTCTCTTCCAGGCTCAGTAGGATATGTGCCACTAGAATCAGGAGCAGACTTTAGATTATGTTGAACTGTTAGAGAACATCTGTTTAAACTGTGAAGTTTACGCGACTCAGTCAAAACACACACACACACACACACACCTGACCTCACAGTGTGACCTGCTGTGTGTTGGTGGAGCTGTGAGCCCAGCTGCAGCTGACTGTGACTGCTGGAGAACACACCAGAGTCCAGCTCTGTTTGGATTCTCAACATCACACACAGTCACAACACACACACACACACACACCGGCTCCCTCTGTTTTATGCCTAATAACACACACACACACCTGGTGTTTAGCAGACCTGGTTTTTGTGTGTGAACACTGAGTTCTTGTCTCGTTCTTGACAGTTTGCTCAGAACTGATGAAAGGCCTCCATTACACAGAAGAGAGGAGAGCACTTAGTGGGAGAGGGGGTGAGGGAGGGGGTGAGGGAGGGGGTGAGGGAGCAGCCAGACAGTCCATATGAATACATGGAGGGAGTGGCTTAAACCAAGGTTCATGTGTTCTGTTGAAAAAAAGCCTCAAGTTTACTGTATGTTTAGAACTGACCCAGGATCAGTGGAGCTAATGAGTGTATTTGTATGGAGTGTATGTTAGAGGAAGTCAATGGACAGAGAGTGGGCGAAATGTGCTAAAAGGAAATCCAAACAAATGAATTAATAACTAGTTATATTTATACACTACTCTGTATACAGTACTGTATACACTATATATATGTGTGTGTATGTGTGTGTGTGTGTGTGTGTGTGGATAAATGCAGGGCGTTGTGTTAACGTCATGTTTATCTTCATCACCTTCATCTCACAGTGGTTCATTTCACACCTTTCTAATTAATTTATGGTGCTGCCATGATGACTGTTTTTACCACACACAGCCCACCCACCCAGACACACACATACACACACACTTGCTCCAGAGACATTTGAAGTTGTGATGTCATGCAGGACTCCACCAAACATCTTTTCTTTTCCTTAGTTCAGGTCCTGAAGACCAGAACATGACTCAGCTCTTTGGTGGCTCTGACTCAGTGACTCAGTCCACCTGACACACAGGAAGGGTCGGGTCGGCCCTTCCTGTGTGTCAGGTGAAGCAGTCAGGTGGAGCAGTCAGGTGGAGCAGTCAGGTGGAGCAGTCAGTCCTTCGCACCTGCAGCACCTTTGTTAACAAAGCTCATTTCCTGCAGTTTCTTCTGTACAGAAAGCTGACTGACTGACAGTGTGTGGAAATTCAAGTGTGTTCATGCTGATTCCCTGAACTACAGAAAGAAAACACACCCGTCACCATGCAGTGCCAAGTGTGTGTGTGTGTGTGTGTGTGTGTGTGTGTGTGTGTGTGAGTGTGTGAGAGCGAGAGAGAGAGAGAGAGAGAGAGAGAGAGAGAGGGAATGTGTGGTTGTGCCAACTGTGTCCTGTGGGCTCTTGTGTGGAGTGGGATTATGTTAATTTGTCCTTGGTGGAGGCTCCTCGACAACGCCTGCACAGCATTGTGGGAAAGCAGACAGACAGTGAAAACAAAAAGATAATGGAGGGAGAAAATGAGTGGGAGAGAGATGAAGGAGTGATGAGTGGTTTGAAGATGTAGAAATAGAACGGACTGAAGAGAAAAACTTACAAGTGGGAACGACCCTGAGGAGGGAGAGCAGAGAGGAGAGAAGTGGAGGAGAAGAGAGAACAGGAGTGTCACACCAGGTGGTGAAAAATCAGAATAATGTGTGAGGATGTAGAGAATGCTGATTAACCAGAACGGTACAATTTTTACAAGTAAGAATGTTTTTATTTATGATGTTCAAAACTCAGGACGTACAATTGAAACTGCTGTGATTGGCTGTGTCTTTAAAAGAAATGGTTAAGGATTACTGTACAGTAAATGACTTTTAGTTTTAAAAAGTCATGGACTTGGACTTGGACAGACAAGTGGATCATCACAGGATCCGGTTCTGCCTGGTTTGTGAAGCAGATATCGTTAATCCGACCCCTGACAGACTACCTTCTAGTCCCTCCTCCCCCACACACACCTCTACAAATACATTTACACGCACGTTCTTATTATTATAATGAACATTATTATTATTTATGTATTTAGGCTGTAAAAATAGATCTGAAGTTCTCTGGCGCCCCCCAGTGGAGACGCGCCTCACACTTTAAAAACCACTGAACTAAAATAATCTGTCAGATAAGCTTTGATGTAACAGGAAGATTTCGTGAACAAGTGTCAGCGTGAGTGACGTAATTTTACTGTTTCTGATTGACTTTGTTCTGTAGGTATTTAGATTGTTCCAAACTAAGGTTTCGCGTTAGAATCAGGGTTAAGATAAGAATGAGACGTTTGTTTGAGATTGTTGAAGTTAGAGTAAGAGGCCAGAGAATGTTTCTGTGTTGATCAAAATAGAAACACCAGTATAAGCTGCTATAAGTCTGTTTATTCTCCGGCGTTTCAGTGTAAAAAAAAAAAAGAAAAGAAAGTAAAATTGACGTGACGTGAGTTTTATGAAGAAACAGCTACACCTGCTGGCAAAGTGTGGTAGTTCATTATTATTATTACCATTTTGTTTTTATTATTATTTCTGAGGAGGTATTTTTTGGGGGGTATGTTTTGGATACGTGGCTTAGTGGTGACAGGCCCAGGCCTGTCACCACTAAGCCCCAAGTATCTGGTTGTTGCTGGTTAGAATCCCCAGATATTTGTAGAGGTAATTATATACAGTTAAATATAATAAAACATAATAATATAATAATATATTATCATATTATTATTATTCATATTATTGTTATAGTACAAAACTATGTGACTATGTATTTGCATTGCATTCATGCATTTATAGATAGAATAACAGCAGCAGCAGGGGACATTTCACCCCCATAGAACTCACCCTGACCTCTGACCTCCCCCATAAATCTTTTGACTGTCTGTCTGTTCATCATGGAAGAAGGTGGTAAAAATGAACTGTATCTTTATGTTTTTCTGCTGCAGGCCCAGAAGAATGAGAGGGAGTCCATCAGGCAGAAGTTGGCCCTGGGCAGTTTCTTTGACGATGGGCCGGGCATTTACACCAGCTGCAGCAAGAGCGGGAAACCCAGCCTGTCCTCACGGTAACGACCTGCTCTGTCTGTTCAGTCACCTGTTCAATGACCACAAAACTTGTGACTGGTGTTTGAGTGAAGAGTACACAAAGGTGACAACAACAGTTAAAGGTCAAAGGATGACTTTTGTTTTTTTGTTCTCAGACTTATGAAAACACTGAAAGTCCAGATTTACTGTCAGAGACGTTCAAGTGAAAATATAAAAATAGATTAGATGACAGGAAACAGGGAGTAGGAGTGGATCCTCATGACTCTACTCTAATTTACCCACAATGCCACTGCCTCTCTCACTGTGTCTTACTGGAACTACATGTTCCTTAAACACTCTCTTTGTATTCTTGTGATTTTATGTATATTTTTTTGTTAACTGTGTTAAAGCTGTGATGTTTCAGTGACAGTGGTTTCCTGGAAACGTTCACACGCGACAGTGCTGTGTGAAAAATGAGACACAGTTGATTAAATCAACATCGCAGCTAATTATCAATGTTAATGAAGCAGCTTTTAAATCTGTGTTGTGAAATACAACAGCACTATTAGTAATTACTATTATTAATAATATGAAGGATAATTTTAATAATAAAACATTATTATTATTATAGGCCTTTAATTAAAGCTCCATTATCAGTCAATAATATTAATTTGGTGGCATGTGTTTTGGCCTTTTTTGGATTGGGTGTGTGATCAGAGGGTTGCTGGTTAAAATCTCACAACTAGCCTACTGCTCCTTTTTCACAGAGGGCTTAAATGCAGAAAACATAGTTTAATATTTCCATTAATACATGCATTTATCTGCAGTATCTCCTCTTCTATTATTTCTACTCTCCAAAAACCAATAATAAGTCGATCACACGCTCTCAAATTGTAATTGGGTCTGATCAGATCTATACTGGTAATCAATACAGCCTGTCTGTATTTACTGCTCTGAATAAACCAGGTCATTGATCCACAGTGGGTTTGAACTGCTCGCTGGCGTCTCTGCTGTCAAACCCATGGCTGTACGGAGGATCAGTCCATATTAGAAACCAAAGTCCTCTGTCTCTCTACCTGCAGGCTGCAGAGTGGGATGAACCTACAGATTTGTTTTGTCAACGACAGCGGCAGCGATAAGGACAGCGATGCAGACGACAGCAAGACAGAGACTAGTCTGGACACACCTCTGTCCCCCATGGTAGGGACCATTGATGTTCTGTTCCACCAAAGCTCCTACTGTACAAATTCAACATGATAATAACAAAAAAAAACCACAGTCAAGAAGAGAAGTTTTTTATTTGAACCTGTCCTGTCTCCTTACTGCAGTCCAAGCAGAGCTCGTCCTACTCAGACAGAGACACCACAGAGGACGACTCAGAGTCCCTGGAAGACATGGACTTCCTGAGTCGACAGAAGAAGCTGCAGGCAGAGGCCAAGCTGGCCCTGGCCATGGCCAAGCCCATGGCTAAGATGCAGGTGGAGGTGGAGAAACAGAACCGTAAAAAGTCCCCAGTAGCTGATCTGGTAAGTCTGAGACACACACACACACACACACACACACACACACACGCGCACGCAGAGGTAGATGATAAGAGAAATGCTGCCATTCAACCGCGTCCATCTATAATTCATTTGCCACAGAGTACTTCCTGTGGTGTTTATGGATGTAGTGATGATCCGTTCCGAACACACTACTGTCACCTACTGGTAAAACATTTATGGAACATTTAGACTTACTGTATAAACCAGAAACTGCAGCAAAGAAATATTAGTTTTGGATGTGACAAACTTCAATAATAATCCAACTTAAAATCCAAATTAAATCTTTTTTTAAATCTAAAATAGACACTTAATAGACACACTAAAAAATGCAAATTATTGACTTGAAATGAGAACAAATAAAACAGAACATCTCTTAAAGCAATGACTAAATGTTCTGTGTTCAGAGAAATTTAATCACAGTGTAGTTGTGGATCAATTACAATTAATCATGATTAATTGAGAAGTCAACATTCCTAATGTTGATGATAGGATTTTAAGATCCAGGAGATTCAGTGAAACTAAAACATTTTATTATTATTTGATAGACTTTCTACCCATGTGTAGAATGCATGACATTTTTATCTGATGTCCACAAATTAGCTATGAACTATGACCATTAATGCATTCATCTCGACAGCCATGAAATGGACACCTTTGGTTTGTGGGATTATTTCTCTGTCAAAGGCAAACAATGAGTGTATGTTTATCTGTGTGCTGGAAATGAGTTTTCTTTTGTTTGTTTGTTTTGCATAAAGAGAGAAGCAGAAAGAGAGAGAAGGGGCAGAGAAATGTAGACATACAGTAAAAGAGTCAGATTTCACAGTGGACTCAGTTCAGTTCCTCAGTCTGGTAAAGATCACATCTGTAGGCTGGTCTGCCGCTCAACACTGTCACAGTGTGCCACAGAAACTCACACTGTGGTCACCAGACTAACCTATTGACTCACTGCTCACACACTGCTACAGTGATCCACCCACCCACACACACACACTGCATCTCTGACATCACATTTCTCTTTATGTCACAGCCTTGTGCTTGTCCACACAACTGAAACTGGTTATTGGGCAACATAGGGAAGAAGTTGCATCAGCGCTAATGTGAAAGTGAAAATGAAACCAGGGTGAGAAGAAACAGGCGTTACACACGCACACATACAGAGTGATAGACACTGTAGGGACAGAGGGAGATTGTGTTCAGCCGTAAGTAC